CGTCGAGCACCGTGAAAACTACAGATAAGAAATACAAAAGAAAAATAAGGAATATTAGTCAAAATACACAAGCAGAAATTTCATTAATACATTTACAATGTTGATCACAATCAAAAGAAAACTTCATAGCACAAATTACCAAATACTATAAAAAAGTGCAATTAACTAAAATTAATAAGAAAAGAAAAATACATTCATTAGACAAAAGGTGATCATTAAAAATTCGCACAAATAATTAACGCAGCACCATCGCTCAGAAACATCACTCAAAATTAAACAACCACAGGATTAATAATCATATCAATTCAAACTTACATACCTCGTTCCACGACCAAGGGGGCTAAAATATTAGGGGAACATCAAGGTACGAGTCTTCTAAAGGATCGTCTGTTTCCTAACAACCCGACAGTAAGAACTTGACATTAACAGCAGGGACAGGATAATTATGATGGAACCAGTGCGTCATCAAACAACAAAACTTACTCCGAGTACATCATGGACATCGTCAAACAAAGAGAAGGTGAGCAGCACGCCACACCGCAGCGGACAACAGGTGAGCAGTACCAGCAGTGACAGGAAAGCACGGGTGGATCATGTCATCTAATTAATCACTTCCTCCCCTTCCTGCCGCCGCATTTCCTCTGACGCTACACAACAATGACCGGTCCCCAGGCAGCAGTATGAACCAACCCGCTGTCATTCACAAGGCATAAAAATGTCATAGTACAGTAAGGTATAAAAAGTTATAGTATACTAAGTTGTACTTACTACAATTATTGTAGCTGTTGTTACTTTAGAAAATAGTTTGACATTTTACATACAAAAAATACAGTGCTTAAAGATGATTTGCTATAGACTAAACTACCAAACAGCATATATAACAACTACATGTTTGACTGTATTTTTTCTTTTAAAAATGCCAAACATTTCATGGTTCTTGGTTCACAAATGTAAAGGTTTGCTTCCTTGCCTTTTAATCATTTTAACATTTTTTATTTCTTCCTTTCATTTTAGTTACATTTGTTGAGTTATTAGTTGGACAAATCAAGGTGTCAGATTTCTCACTAATTTCTGAAGCCAATTAATTAATCAAGAAAATAATCTGCAGATTCATTCATAATGAGAAGTAGTTGCAACTTAATATAAAAGTTCCACCTCAACCAACATTAAAATGGAAAAATAATAACGATGATATATAAGTCTTCCATTCAGTATTTTTACTTCAGATACATTTTCCTGAATGTATTTATATACTTTTACCATTTTCAATACAAGACTTCTACTTACGTAAAGGGTTTAAATACTTCCCCCACCAGTGCTAACAGCAACACAATTTCTAAAATACCAAACAAACCTTTGGCATTTCTGCACTGCAATTTCATGTTATTTACCAGCATATCCACAATAAGCTAATATCAGCTCATAATATTTGTCAGTTTTACCCAGAAATCAAAGAGCACTCTGTTGTATCAAGATTTTATTAAGCTTACTGTACATTCATGTCCTGTACAGCATGTTCATCACATGAAAGTATACTCCTGCGCATCAGAGTATTGAGAGGAAGGCAAAAGTTCACTAGGTAATGGGAACTCAGGCTCCATATTAACAAAGCAACACGAGGATAAGAAAGCAAAAGAAATACAGACGTACACATGTATGCAAACAGAATTAAAGTGACCTGATTTAGTCAAACTTAAATCTAATATAATACCTTTTTGATAAGGAACATTCGCTCAGCAAAAGTTGGACCAGAAATAAACAAAGCAATAAATAGGCACTGGGGAAGTAGTCACAACAGCATTGGGCAATTAGTCATGAGAGCTGCTAAACTGCTTAAAAAAAAAATATATATTATATTATATATATATATTATATTTTTTTTTTTTTTTTTTTTGGGGGGGGGGGGGGTGCACTGAATGGTAGTCAATGAAGATCCAAAACAAAAAAAATATACAGATGAGGATGAAAAAAAGCTAGAGCGCTTATCAATTGCAGTTGTTTATGAGTCTGATGAGAAGGCTCTGTGTGCGTTGGGAAACTGCTGAGAGTTGAAATCCGGGTCCTCCCTCACTCTTTTCTTGATGTCGGCTTTAACCTGCAAGAACAAAAAGATGACACGATTATGGTGGGAGATACAAGCACAATTAAGAAGCTATAAACTACAACTAAAAGACTTTTTCAGTGTTTTTTCTTGAAAATTGAAAATGATTAATTATATATCTTCAAAACTGTTATGGACATTGGATACTCACATTCTTTGTCCCTTGAAAATAATTAATTTCGATAAACAAGTTATTGGAGACCTGTCTAACCACCTGTGTTGTAAAGTGTAAAAGTAAGTAAGTCTCTGCAATGAAGATTATGATTAAACGATATACTAACTAATGCAAATCATGGGCAAATCTGTCAAAACAAAAAGGACCACACTATGGTCATTATTAGCCTAAATGATATGTAGTTTGTCCCTGGTTTGTTCTACGATACAGGTAGGATTCAGTTACCTGTTCTGCATATGCCTCCTTCAGCTCCTGGGTCTCCAGATCGTCCTGTAGTCGCTCAGCAGAGGTCATTGGCTTCACTCCGGCTGTCCTGGCTGCTTGACTCACTGCATCAGAGAGGGAGAGGAGGCTTCCACCGCCCTGTCCGGTCTGAAAACACACACGTACACACAACTTAAAGAAGGCAAGACAGGTGACACTCATTTGTCATGACTGAGGTTACAACTGATCTGATTACCTTTCTGCGTTTAGCTGGCATGCCGTGCAAATAGGCATCGGACAACGGAGGCTGAGCTTTCATCTTCCTCTGGGTCATCATATCACACCTGATGATGGGCACCCACTCCTACAACACATACAGTAAATACACAAGGAAGATATGTCTTATGAAGATTATGAGTCACCAGGGTTATCTTTTAAAAAGGATCAGTTCTCATTTTTAAAACAACAAATCAAATAAAACAATCAAAGCCTCCTTGTGCTATTATCACTCTACCACAGTTCAGCAAGGAAACACAATCTGGGAAACCACAAGGGGGGAATTTTGTACTAAAAAGACTAAATCTTGATTTGACAAACTCAGACTGCAGAAGCATTATATTAGCTTTGGCTAAAGTTTAATGTGGATTTTGTCCCCCATCTCTTACACTGGATTTGAAAACTTTTTCAGTGTCCTGTTGTTTTAAGAGTCTCATTCAATTTGTCTTTCCAGAAACAATGTACCAATTACTCTGAGAAATTCAGACTTCACTAAAACTGTTTTCACTGGAACTATTGTCTACAGAAGAAACAGTTCCTATAAAAGTGCTGCAAGTTTGTTCATTGGATTATCCAGAGTAACAAGGAAACTTTCCAAGAAAGGGTCGACATGACTACATGTTTTGTTGCACTGTCCTGGTAAATTAGAAGATAAATGTTAAATAAAACCAGTAAACAAACTGCGGGGGCTCTTACAGGTGGAACAGCAGCCGCCCAGGCCTCTGACTCTCCAGCAGAATCCTCACTCCCTCCCTCAGCTCCCGCTGCTGCCATGTCGCCACCTAATGGTGCAGCTCCTCCTGAGGCTCCCAGGTCCCCAGGTAACACCCTTGTCTCCCGTGACGATGCCCTCGTGTTGGGTGACACGGACATGGCCTCCTCTGCTGTGGTTGCTGCAACTGGTGAGAGGGTGTCCCCAATCTTTTGAAGTGGAGAACAGCAAAATGAGGGAAACTAAAAGGCAAAGCAATACCTAAAATGTCACACTGAGTTCATCTGAAAAGGATATTAAAGACACACTTACCGTTGCACTTTGTGCTTGTTCAGGCTCTTGTGTGCCAGTGGCAGAAGACTGATCTCTCTGTGAAAGAATGTCATCTAATATTTATTAGCCATTTCAGACCTGCTGTCCAAAGTAACACGATATGTAACAGCCATCAGGTAAGACAGTGTTTTCTCTGCAGGTAACATGTTATATGCAGATGTATTCTGTTGTGCAGGAAACTGATAACATTTTCAAATGTAAAATTCAGGAAATTAAATCTACAGATACAGAGTCATTGATAATGAGATAAAATAAATATTTGAAAAACTGTGTGTCTGGACCAATACCTGTGTGCGAACTATGTAGTTCTGGATCTGCTCCTGTGTGATGGGGATGTGCTCCAGAATGACCTGCAGCCTCATCGTCATCATGCTGGTCATCCAGTTGACAAGGCTGGGGCTGATGTCACTGGACATCCTCCGCTGGAACCACAAAAGAAAATTCAGGTTTTACTTAACAACAGCTGTTTTGTTCTGTAGTCTGTCCTTATGGTAATGTTCCTCTCTTTGGTTGTTTTTTCTTTTACATGACCATTCTAGTTGCACAAAAACATTTCAAGAACACAATACATGATTTCAAATATTAACATAATATGAGTCTTGAACATGTGAAATGATAGTTGTAGAGTGAGTAGGTAAATTAAATGCAGGTGGAGACAAAATAAACTGTGAAAGAGTAAATAGCTGTAGAGTTAAGGTAGTGGCGATGCGTGGGTTGACCCATAACCTGCAGATCCCTGTGGTTTGACCTGCGCTGTCCGGTGCTAAAGTAGAGGACGGATTTGTAATTGCGCCTTTTTTTCCTCAGTCCTGCCCTTCTGTCAGTTTAGTCTCGGATCTATAATATAACACTCTATATGATAAATACTCCATTTTATACTGTATTGAAGCCTATAGTACACTCTATAGAGCAGTGCCACCTTTGTGATCAAAGTGACCAATAGCAATGTGAAGTTGCATTACAGCAACAGAAATAAGAGACACATTGCTGACTGCGGTATTCCTGCAATATTTCTGTGATCATTCAGTAGCATATATGCTGCTGAAAATACACACAGACCAAACTACCTGTCTAACAGATTATGTTAGGGGAGACATGCAGATATAGTTTAGGGCTGGCCCGACCAAGGCCAAGCACTGCATCTACGAATGCCCTTGACTGACTGAGTGAGGAAGTTACACCATTGGACGGCTAAGTGTTAGACTTTTCCTATTGGCCGTTGCGATTCATCTTCCGTCACCCGACAGCTCTTACAGCGGATCGACGACAGTTTTCAGCTAGTCTGTATATCGGTCTCTCTGGTGACTGCACCTAAACCCAAACTTATTACAACGGAATATTTTTGCAGTATTAAGGTAAGTTAAATGCTTAGTACGTTATACATTTGCCAGAAACTGAATTTTACTCGTGCAGTGCCCGTTCAAAATGTTTGGCTGCTCGCTTGGCCAGCGAACTTACCCGTTACAGAAACATACTGACTGTACAGAGGCACGGAGCCCCCTGTGCCCCGCAGGGGAAAAAAGATCCATATGAACATGTGTAGACACTGGGTTTAGAAATCTGTGCGCACGGATTATTGGCGGTACTGTCGGTGTTATACTCCTCGCCCTCAGATTTGTACACTGTGCCCTCGGATCCATGCGCTGTTTAGAAGTGAAAAGCATAAAAACTACAACGTTGCACAATGACAGCTGTGAAACGTACAACGCACAACACAGTATATCTTAGGATCTATCTGAAACACTCAACGACTCTGTTTGCGTGTGAAAAGCGAAGTAAATACAACGTTACACAATTTCAGTCAGTACACAACATTAAACAGCGAGTTCCGCCTGTTCCCTGGCATGTATATGGTCCGGGTGCTGCACTGCTTTTGTAGTGTAGTTCCGCCATTTTCTCCACGTCAAGTAACGTAGAGAAGCGGTGGCTGTGGTCGAAAAGTCAAAAGAAAATCTCCTTTCCGGACCACATTTCCATGACCTCGATGAAAAACGTCATGAGGTCGGGATCAAGGAAAAATGTGAAGGAGAATTCATAAGGATTTAGGAATATACAACTGCGGTGCAGCGAGAATCCGACTGCTTTCACTTTTTTTGAGCCAACTTTATTTATAACACATGGACGATATATACACCTTTCCTAACCACAAAAACAAAACAGGATTGAAATGTTGAAATAAGAATGGCCAACATAAATAGTTGAGGTATTAAAATAATTAAATGAAAAATAAGCAACTAAGTAAGAGGCCAGAAAACGGTATATTCAGACATAAGTAGGCTATATAGAGTTTTAACTTTTTTTAATACATTTGTTAAGTAGAGAAAATTCATATTTAGTGCAGTGGGAAGGGTTTTGAAATTACATTTATATATAAAGTATGTTGTTATGATGATGATGTTTGAAAGAGAAGAAATTTATATATTTATGGATTTGGAGCTTAGCCAATCACACAAAGATTTCCATAAATTTTTAATTGTATCTCACGCATAAAATAGGTGCTCTGTTTCTACATTTACGTGGTTCTGCCGTGGTAAACTGACAATCGTGCATCTTTTTAAATGTTGCTGCAGCAAGGACTTGAGGGACAGCATTTTCTCCTTTCCTTTCATAAAGGAAGTATATCCTATGCTAAAGGAGATAAGACAGGAAGCATTGAAGCTCCTTTCCCTATCAATTAGAGAATTTGACCGGCTCTTATCATGGCTGCCACTTAAGATTCTTTCAGGTCATTTCACTCAGTTAGGAACGATCCTAAGCAAAAAGGACTTTTCGACCACAACTGATGCTCACCCCACAGTTGACACTGCACTTTGTTGGGTCCTCAGCAATACACCTGCCAAGTTTTTGGAGAAAATCGGCCTGTGATTCTCACAAAGCAGTTAAAAGTAGCTCCACCTCGGCCAGCTACACCAATAAAACATGCTCATGCGTTGACTTATCAGTATTAATAATGTAACATTACAATCACTGAACCAAACAAAGCTGCCATAATTCTGCAAGCAGTTCAGTCTACAAACTACAATAGTAAAATTCTCCATATTAAGCATTAATAATGGCACGTTTCTTTGTTAAACCGCCCCCGTTTGTCCTGCTGTTTGTTGTAATTGCATTGTTAATGCTGACATAAGGCTTTTACTTTGAAACATGTGCAGGACCATGTTGTGTATAATTCTGTCACTTGGACTGTCCTGCAGATATTTCAAAAAACGTAGCTACTGCCATCATGTCTGACTTGTATTTCAAAAAATATGTTGTAATTCTTGTTGCTCCATGTAGTATTAAATCCAAACCAAATTTTGTCATGTTATCTTATCACAGGCACCTGAGGTGTCAGGATGGTGTTGACCTTAGTGATGACTACTGGGTGGACTTCCTGGGAAGCACACAAACCTCCCACACAACACCACAAAACAATACATCGCAGTCCTCAACCTCCAATCTGCCAACCTTCCACATCTGCCTTTCCAGTTCCAGGTGACTACTGTTGTGTCTATAATAGTTTAGTCATTAATACTATACAAGTACTCAGTATTTCCATTTTCTTCCCAATGATACATGTTTCTAGATGAAAGAACGGCACCTCTGGATCAACATCCAAGTTTACCTGCACAAACTGCTGAAGAGATAGTCACTGTCATTTACCAGGTACTTCTTTCATTTTTACATTATTGTGGTTTGTGCTGTTGCCAGGTATGAGGTATGCTTATATGCAATCATGCCACACTGTATAAACCCCTGGACACTATGGAATTAAATGACTCAACACTGTTAAAATTATTTCTGACAGGGAGTTGACAGCCCTCTGTGTCATCCACTGAAGGAGGAACATGAAATAAAGGAGGAATACGAAATAAAGGCGGAACACACAGGAAATCTATTTGACCAATGTCCTGAAAATAAGCAGATTGTGTGCAAGATCTGTCAAAACCAGTTTAAGAATTTGCTAATACACTTGAAGAAATCTAAAGCATGCCAAACTCATTACGACATGGATTCTTTACAAAAACAAGCAAAGGTGAAACGAAAATCAAAACATACTGAAGCTCAGGCTTCTTACAGACGAAGGCAATTACTGGAAGATCCAATCACATTTAGACAAAAACACGCTTTGGAGCAGGCCGCTTCCAGACTAAGAAACATGGAAAAAGATCCCATTGGAACTAGAGCTAAACATGCCAGAGTGCAGGCAGCTACCAGACAAAAACATCTGGAAAAAGATCCCATTGGATTTAGAGCCAAACATGCCAGAGTGCAGGCAGCTACCAGACAAAAACATCTGGAAAAAGATCCCATTGGATTTAGAGCCAAACATGCCAGAGTGCAGGCAGCTACCAGACAAAAACATCTGGAAAAAGATCCCATTGGATTTAGAGCCAAACATGCCAGAGTGCAGGCAGCTACCAGACAAAAAATTCTAGAAAAAGATCCCATTGGAACAAGCGCAAATCATGCTACAGTGCAGGAAGCTACCGAACAAACAAATACTAGGCTCCAGGAGAGCCAGAACAAACCAACAGAGGCTTTTAAGACTGAACAAGAGGAGGTACCGTGCAACCTCCTCACTGACCTGCTTTGCAATGATGAAAATGACCCGACCCAGTTCACCTTCTCCTGTGAGGTTGGTGAAGGCCACTCATCGAATGGAGATGGAGCCAGGTCTCCAGAAAGAAACTCTTTCCCTGACTCATCTAAACAGCACCCATCATTCATCTGCACTGCCCCCAAATTCGACCTCAGTCCTCTTGAGAACACAACAACAGTTTTTCTGACAGGAGCAGACTACCCAGGTGAAGAAGGATCAGTCCAGGTGCCAATAACAGTGGAGGTAAAGACAGAAGCAGATGAACAAACACCAAATACAGCTAGTCCCACCAGTAGCCTCTTGAACATGCCTTCCCCAAGTCCTGAGTGGTTCACCATTGAGGACAGCGATTTGAAGCCCCCAGTTGATGCAGCTCTGCAAAGGGCAGCAGAGCAACAGAACCTGAACAGACTCCAGGAGAACAAGAACAAACCAACAGAGGCTGTAAAGACTGAACAAGTGGAGGCACCGTGCAGTACTTACAGCCTCCTCCTCAGCCCTCTTCCACAAGCTGCACCAGCAACATTAGTAGTAGTACCCAGTAGTAGTATTCAGCTAGGGTGCCCAGTGTTTGGAACAACACCAGGCAACCCAGTTCTCTTTAAGTGGTAAAGACTCCCATAGTGGGGCCCACAGCACAGCCTGCACACAGTGAGTGAAACTGTTAACTGGGAGCTGGAACTAGACTTAGTTTTTATATATCTGGGGAGGAGAGAGACCAGACATTCCCCTAGGCTCTATACAGGAGAATGTATCTTCATCACCAGGCCTTTTTTGTTTTGTTTTTTTTGTTTGTTTGTCTTCTCACTTTGTTATTCTCTGTACATGTCAGTGGAGTTTTTTGGTACAGGTTCATGCGCATTTATACCTCAATTTACACAGGTCATGTCAGGTTTGGGTCATATGACTAATATGTTATTAATACTAAGTATTAAAGTGAAGGTATCATATAGTAAGGTTTATATTGGGTTTTAGATGCAAACTGATACAGAATGAACAATATATTGATGCATGTAAATATTTAAATGGGCCTTTCTTGTATATATTGGCATGAGCTTTATCCCCGACTGTTTTGTTCCTATACAGCCAAATGCATTCAAAAATGTTCAAGTTCATGTGAATGATGACTGACCGTTAGCAGTATGATTGGCTGCGGTGCCTTACACCTAAAACTGAGGGATGATGTCCCTTTTTGTTTTTATATAAAAACTTCTCAATAGTAGTGCAATATATTCCTTAACCTTTAAACATGTGTTTTTCATAAGTACTACTTTTCAGTCTTTTGTTGCATACAAAAACTTTTATTACCTTCACCAAGGAGTTTATGTTTTCCCCTGTGTCTGTCTTTCTGTTTGGTTTGTTTGTTTGTTTGTTTGCACTTAGTGGAGGGTTGATGCATGGGCCAAGGAAGAACCCATTAAATTCTGATACAGATCCGGTTAAAGGACCAGATTCAGGAATTTTTTTTATAACTTTATGAAAGGTACGACATTTTCCCCCATTTCCATCCATTCCTCAGGTAATATATGGATCTTGATGTAAAAAAAAAGATCGGACATATTTATGGTGTTGACATCTGAATTTGTACTATTTGGTTCAGATCCAGATAATAATCCGGATCTGGTGGAAATAAAAAATGCTGAATCTGTATTACAGAGTTGTACTTATTAATACTAAGTAACATTGCATACGGCACCTGCAGCATTTAGGAATGAATCAGTATTTAATTTAACATACAACTAAATAATAATAAAATAATAAATAATAATAATAAAAGTTCACAATAACAATAGCGGTGGCAACATAGTACTGAGACAATTCATACAAGATGTAGAGCTGTATGAATTTTAGAAGGCTGACGTCATTATTTCATGGCTTATGGAAGCACTTTAATAAAACAATTATTGTTAATGTTATTAGTAACGCCTACACTTTTCCTGCTATGACTAAGGATTTCTCAGTATTTGAATCTGATCAGTCATTGTTATGTGATTGTTAGGCCACTATCTGATCAAACTAGAACAAACCAGATCCACATGGTCCTGATGAAGCATATTAGCTGAGTTTTTGAGAGTTGAACATCATTTTTTGTTTTTCCAAACTTTAACCTGATTATTGGCTCGGCCAACCACAGCCCAGCGCTACATCCGATAATGTCTGCGACCAACTGGTGATGAAGTTACACCACTGGTCATCCGGCCAAATGTTGGCCTTTTCTTATTGGCCATTGCTCATTCAAAATGATTTGGCACAAACAGTTTCTATTACATCATCGTGGAGCATTTACAGTGTATCCATAACAGTTTTCAAGTACTTTCTCAGGGGGTGATTCCTCTCATCACTGTACCTAACCCCAAATATGTCACAACGGTACACCTGGCCTTCAACAGTTAAAACATACATTACTGCTATTTCATCCTGGCACGAGGGCTTCAGTGACAGATCAGTGTTTAGCCACCCTCTGATGAAACATTTCCTAAAATGACGCACGGAGACACAAGCCAGTGTCATGCTCCCTCACCACTTACTGGGATCTAGCACTGGTTTCACACGAGCCAGTTAAAGCCTCCTTTGAACCTCTGGATCTGGTTTCGCTTAACTTGTGTAATTTATGGTTATGTTACTTAAAATGGCCCTGCTTGTAGTGTATTGTGGAACCCCTGCTGAATAAACTCAGTCTGCTGCATAAATCTAAAGGTGCATTTACTCATTACTTTAATACACAGACTTTTAATATATTTTAAGCTTTTTTTCTTGTGCATTTACTGTCACAAGCACTTGCAAGTGTACCAATCTGGTATCAATGCCTACTTACAAGTAGACATGAGTGTACCTACATATTCATAAAGCACTAAATTTGATATCATTTGGCTAACATGTTTCATCTGGCATCTGCTCCATGCTGATCAGAGACCTGAATCTCAGCAGAAAGAAACAGTGAGTGATTTAGTGAAACATTGTGTACTAACTATTCGGTGGTTGATGACTGCAGTAAGAGCTCTCTGGTCTCCTCTCAGGCAGTGCAGGTTGAGGGCAAGACACTCAAACAGTGCCTGGTTACACATCTGTAGCAACTGGGGCCCAAAGGAGTCATCTGGAAAAAAATAATATACTAAATATTTTATTCCAATAACAAATTCCCCTACAGTTAAGTACCACATTTGCTAAGGAGACAGTGCACTTTGAGGTGGTTAATTTTACTAATTCACCTCACAGCAGTATTCCTGATAAATAATGCAAATTGGTTTACTTCTAGTGCTGCAACCTATACTTTAACACAACCAGTGGAACAAAAAGCTCAACACATACAGTGAACTGGAAACGGGGAAAAAAAGAAGTTTACCACTGCAACGCAGAATATGTGTGGCGATGCGAGTCAGCTGCTGTTTGAAGAAAGACATGTTGGTCTGAGTAACATCAACGCCCTCCAACACGGTGACTGAAGACTCTCTCTGTGAGAGGTGAGAGAGAAGGTTATAATTACTTGAAGAAAAGATGGCACAGCATTTCAACATTTAATTGTTTTTGTTTTCCTTATAAACTATTATCTGTCCTAGAATTTGAATCTATTCCATTCTTGATACTTCCTTAATACAATATACCGGTATTCACTACTATCAGTTTTACATTATCACCCAGAACACATGTTTTCATTTCATCTATTTCAATATAAGTTTGTGGTCCATGTTGTTTGTAACCTCTATGTTTTATGTTCTATGTGCTGCTGCTGTCTTGGCCAGTAGGCTCCTGTAAGAGATTTTTAATCTCAATGGAACTTTACCTGGTTAAATATATAAACTGTGTTGTTGGATCGACCTTGTGAGAAATATTTTACCTAGTACATTGGGCTCAAATTATCCATAATGCACACAAAAGTTGTTGTCCAACAATAAAGTAGGCTCAAATTTATTGTGTAACATCACAGCCCTGTTTAGTGTCCACTATTATACATTAAGTGACAATGACAAACTATGTACACTACAACAACAGACAGACTGTGCTGGATGTCACATGTTTTATCTGTGGTAAATTAATATCTTATAGTGTAAATAACTGTTTTGTATTTTACTGGAAGAGGAGTGGACATCAAGGACTTACAAAGCTCTCTGTGATGTACTCCTCCAGTTCATTGACAAGACTGTTGGCAGCCTCCTGGAGATGGAAAGAAGAGGACATGAGGAAAAACAAGATAATGACAGCACACAGAGGAAGAAGACAACAAAAATATAACATTTACTGGTTAATTACACAAAAAAATAAAGCAGATAAGCCATCAAACATGTGACCTGTAATGAAAGCTACATTAGCACTACCCATTTTTTCATTATTATTATTATTAGTATTTAAAGACAGGTAATCCATCTGAAGTTAACACAAATCATTTCTGGTGAGTAGTACTGACAGCAATGTTCTGGTCAGTGGGCTCTCTTCCATTGAGGTAGTTCTGGGTAAAGAACTGGGAAAGCTGAGGCTGGATGCGACCCAGCGGCTGGTGCTGACCATGAAGCAGCATCACCAGGTCTGACATGGTGAACGTCTGGCACACCAGCATCAGCAGCTCTCCAAAAAACCCTAAGAACCATAATTTTAAAAAAAAAAGCAAAAATAAAAGAAGATACGGGAAATTAAATGATCAATAGGAGTGAAATTCAGGTAAAATATCTTCTGATATGCTCCTTGACTAAATAATGTGATATTCTTTACCAGTAGGATCCTCAGGACTGATGAAGATGTTGGTTGCCTGTGACAACCTCTGCATAAACTGAGCAATGCTCTCTGTGTCGTTCTGGGCTTGGCCCAGAGAGCCCATCATGGTGCTCAGAACGCCACGCACGATGCCTGTGAACAACTCTGGGTTGAGGGCTTCAGCTGCTGCAGACGGGTTAGGCATTGGGTTGGGCCCTGCACCGGGAGCTGGAGTAGTACCAGAGGGAGGTTGGGGTGGAGAAAAGATTGGCTGGGCCTAGAAATGAGATGAGGATTTGTGAACATTACTTTGCCTTACTTGAAATAGAAGTGATTTTTTTAATGGAGAGAACTATATGTATAGCACAAATAACAACACTCACTGTCAGCCTATCTGTCCTCTAGTGGGTCATTAGGAGACATGGTGATGATTAAGGCTGGGTATCATTTGAAATTTTTCAATACTAGTGCCAACACAATGTTAACAAATAGTAAAATCACTTTCTACAAAGTCCTTTTGTTACATTTAACAAAAATCTAATTTCTCAGTTGTTCAAAGTTGTGAAAACAACAGTCATACAACAAAAAAAAAGTTTCAAATTTAGTTTCAAACTGGCAAAATTATAGTAAAAAATAGTTTAAAAAAAGAGCACAAATCTTAGCAAACATTCAATGCCAACTTTTGGTACTTCTGGCACAGTTTCCGATACTTGGTGCAACAGACAAAAAATTTCAATCAGCACCAAAAAAGCGCAGTTCAACAGACAATGATTTAGTCACTCTGTTCCTCCTTACAATACTGTTGTGTAGTGTGTAGGGTGGTTTATTACCACAAACTGATAATGTTGTAACTGGGAATGTCTACAAGGTGGAAAAAAGTTATAAAAAAATGTTGACGAAACCTGTTACTCTGATTCTAGGTAATGTATATCATTGCTGGCTAGTTTTAAGGTGTTTTTAGGATTGCAGAGTCCCCAACAAAAAATTGAATAGCATTAATTGTGCTGCACTTGTCAAATTAATTACTTCCACGTGATGTGTATGCACGTTATTCTGGATTATACACGACACGCAAATTCTGATGTGAGTCATATCCAAATGCAATTTTCCACCAAAGTTGATAAAGTGCACTCAAGTCAAATGTTCAAGCACTGACCTGTTGCATGAATTCACTCACTCCCTGGATGAAGGCTGGGACACCAGATGTGGTGACAGTGATAGAAGGGGCTCCTCCAGGGCCTGCACCAGCTGCACCAGCCACCCCCAGGAGAGAACCCAGGAGCTGGCTGAGGTCTGGGGGCATCTCCTGGGATTGGGCCTGACTGGGGTTGGTCTCAGGCTGGCTCGGTGGACTCGCAGTGCTTGCAGTAGACGGAGGTGTTGGACCAGAGGCAGAGAAAGAAAAGGAGGAGGAGGCGGAGGAGGTTTGAGATGAGGAGGAAAAGGAGGAAGAGGAGGATGTGGATGTGGATGTGGATGTGGATGAGGAGGAGGAGGAGGAGGGGGGGGATGTGACAGTTTGACCAGCTGTGAAAAAAACAGATTGGAATATCACTGATTGACAGCAATCATTTAAAATCTTTTCTCAAGTTATACTATGCAAGATTTTCCTAAAAAACAATCTACAGACTCATACAAAGGTAATCCCTCTCAATTATCACTTATGACCCAAGAGAAGTGTGTGGCAGGGTTTTATCTGCAGAGACCCTGACTATATTTTCTTCTTATTTTGCTATGTTGGGGACGTTTCTGGGCTGCAAGCTTTGGGCAGTGGGTGTGTAGCCCCCAGCTAAAAACAGTGCACAAGTGAAGCGACCAGGTTACCCAGGATGTTACAATGTCTGTGTCATAGATGTATGAGGAGCTGCTGGTCTGTGTGTTTGTTTGACGGAGGGCTGGGCTGGGCTGAGCTACACATAAACGCAGAGCAGAGAGGGTTGTGCAGAGGTGTGGGCATGTTTATTCATGCCTTAGAATACAACCACCATGAAACAATCACAAAATAATGTTTTATTTCTCTGATTACATGCATTGTTCTCGCCAACGTCACTAGCTCTCTGCATTTGGTTGAGCTGAGGGGGATAGGATACCTTTTCATGGTGTGCTTCCAAACAGCAACCTATAAATCCTGCATAGTATACCTTTAAACATTAAGTGATTGTATTTACAGAAACTGCTGCTAATACAGTCCAAATCTAAATGTAACAAAAGGAAGAGCTTACCCATTTGTCCTGGCAGCAGAAGTTGTCCAACTAGTCCACTAATCATCTGGTTGAGAGCAGCAGGGTTGAAAGCCTGTGGAGCAAGATTTATTAATTAGTCTCAAATGTTGATCATATTGGCAATCGGCCTCAAAAAGCAAACAGGAACCAAATCAGAAAACATTCTACCCACCTGTCCTGGCTGCTGGCCTGGCATGGCAGCCCTCACATTAATGGTGGTTCCCCGGGTACCGAAGGCTGGAGGGGGCATGTTTGGTGCGAAGGGGGGTCGAGTGAACACAACCCTGGCCTGGGGGCCCGTATGGGGAGGTGGTGGTGGAGCAGTAGGGGTGGTGGTGGGTGTGTTCGGACCCGTGGTAGTAGTTGAGGAGTTGGCTGTGGAGCTGTAGCCAGGAGGGGTGGGCTGGGGTGGGACTGGCTGGCCAGTGGCAGCAGCCGTGGCAGCACTAGTAGCTACAGCAGCAGCGTATTGGCTGATCTGTTGCATGAGATTTCGCATAAAGTCGGGGGGGAGGGCACCTGAGAAATGCATGATTTACATTTGTTATTGGCAGGAAGGGGGCTTCAGGGCTGCAACTAATAATAATTTTCATTATCAAAACATAATCATTTCATCTATAAACATCAGAAAGTAGTGAAAAATGTCCATCGTAATTTCCACGTCATGAAATGTCTTGTTTTGCAAAAGTTTAAAACCCCAGCATATTCAATTTTCTACAATGTTAGGCAGCAAATTTTTACATTTGAGAAGTGGGAACCATCAAATATTTGGAATTTTTGTTCTAAATTTGAC